CGGAGGGAGCGCTCGGGGGTCGAGGGCGCGGGGCGAAGGCAGAGGCGAGGAGGGCAGGCCGGGCAGGGGCGGTCTGCGCAGGCCGAGGATCCGTCCTCGCGCCCTCCTCAGCCGGGAGCTGTATCCGCGGAGCCCTCGCGCCTTCCGCGCTGCGGCGGCACAACGGTAAAGCGCATCTGCCTCGACAGCCGAGGGACAGCCGTCCTCCCCGCCGCGCTTCTCCAAAGCGGGAGTCCGCGTGGGGCCCGAGCGCCCAGCCCGCTCCCCACGCCTGCGCTGCCGCGCTGGGGCCGTTGCTCGCCAGGGAGGAGAGGGAGCGCTACACGAAGGTGGCGGGCTGCGCTCCGGTGCCCTCAGGAGCAAGCAAGCCGTGGCTGGCGGCAGAAGGAGACGTGGCGGTGCTTGGCTTGGAGTCAAGGGGCTGAGAGCAGGGAAGCCCATCTGGGCCCACACCCTCTGGGGCCATTTCCTTACTAATCCGCAGCATCTTCTAGCATCCCCTGGCCACTCTTGTGGTACCCTAGGGCCTGGCTGTTACAGGGCACAGCCTGGCTGGACACCGGTGCGGTCGGAATAGGCTCCAGGAAGTGTCCAGGGCCCTGATCTGCCTGAGGCAAAAGGGGCACGTGAAGAAGAGCAGTTGGGTGTTGAGGAAGGAGATGCATCTTGAGGACTGCTAGTGATGCCTGGGCAGCATAGAACCGGCTGCAGCCCAGAAGCCTCCAGGTTGCCATGGCAAGTCACTGCTTATTCACTTGCCTGTCTGAATATGGAAAGTCTTGGGACAAGATCTTAATGAAAATGTCTGGAATGCCACAAAAGGCCTTCCCTTATTCAGCAACAAACAAGGCTGTGAATCCATTATGGGGTGAATAAAAATGGGATTAAGGTCCATTTGTGTTCTTACCTCTCGCTCTGATGCACGTTGGTGGGCATACTCTGGATCTCATCTTTGCCTCCAGTTGTGGGAGGATCTGGAAATGGAGGGAATTCCCCGTACCGTTATGCTTAGTTCATGCCTGGTCCAGCTGTGGTTGCTCAGGGAGAGGAACCAATTTCAGTGGTCTGCCTCGGGTGCCTGATGGATCCTGTTGCTTTCAGAGCATGCTGGGAGTTTCCCCAGATTTCTGATGGGCAGTTCTGTTCAGGTAGTGAGCCAGGTGCTGGATCTTATTGCCTCTTTCTGGGGTCTGATTCTGGATGGCACCTTGGTTTACTGAGGGAGATGAAGTGCCAGAAACAACACCTGGAGCCCCTCTGGAGGAGTCCTGAATGAATCTGACTGAGCACAAGCGCATGCCCGTGTTCAGGTCTACACTGCGGCGACAAGGGAGGTGAGATTTGCCACTTCTCCCTTATTGCATTGGATGACTGCCAACCAGCAGCCTTATACGGGATGGTGAACTCTTAGTTGGAGATGAAACAGCTTTATAACCTCCCACATGGTTGCTGTGATAGCTTGGGCAGCATTTTGCCAATAAAGTTGCTTAGACTCACTGTAGGCTGGACTTCACGTGGACAGTCTTTCTTGGTGACTGGGACGTTGTCTTGTCCTGTTATTGGGAGTCCTTTTGGTCCGTGCCCGCTGAGAGAGTGAGCTTCCTCGATTGTCTTCTGCCACCTGCTGGCTGGATCCCTGCCCATCCTGGCTTGTCCCGGAAGTTGCAGGAAGCGTGACCTTTTGGGTCTGGGAAATTGTTAATGCCTCGTTGCGGGAGGGGGAGCTCCTGGCAGCTTTGAAAGAGGCTGTGGTGCAGCCCCTCCTGAGGAGGGCATCCATGGACCCAAGCATGTTAGAGATCTAGTAACTAGTCTCCAACCATCCCTTTTTAGGTGTAATGGAATGTGAGAATGACCTTGGAAGATGGGGGAAGAGATGCCGCCTAGGGAACAATCAGATAAGAGGGGGCATAGCCTGCAGCTGCGTATTGGGCACAGAAGGAAACTTAGAAAGGATCTGCCATAACCGATCAGGCAGCAAAAAGAGAGGGCGAGCTTTCAGACTTGCAAGATCCTGTTAATGTAGCCTATCAATAAAATAGAAGTAGCTCATTTGGTTGTGTTTCCTGTCTGGTCTACCTGGGAGGGCTGACATCAGGGAAGATTGTTGAGACGGTGGTGGATCAATTTCATAGCACCCTATCTGGACCCTTTTCAGATAGAGTTCAGGCCTGTTTTGGAATGGAGATAGCATTGTTCGTTCTCCTGGATGACCTATGTTGTGACCTGGATGGGGGAAGTGCACTCCTCCTGGTCTCATTAGCTCTCTTGGCAACTTTTGATATTATTGACCATGATGTCCTTTCAGACTGTCTGTGAGGGTTGGGGTAGTAGGTGTTGTTTCATGATGGCTCAGCTCGTTCTGTATTGGGCAGCTCTGATGTGTGTTGGTGGGGGAAGAGAGGTTGGCCTAGTGGCCTCTTCCTTATGGGTTGCCACAGGCATTGGTTCTATGTGCCCTGCTTTTTAACACCTATATGGAACTGCTGGGAGAGGTCATCCAATGGTGTGGTATCATCAATATGCTGGTAATACTCAATTGTACATTGCTAGTGGGCTGTGAGGGAGGTGCTGTTGACCCTTCTGTGGTTCCTGGAGATGGTCAGGGTCTGGATGGGACTGGACTGAAACTGAATCCTGGCAAGTTGGAGTTGCCGTTGATACATCAGGCTCCTTTGTCACTGGACTACACATCAGGGAGTAGGTTGACAACTCGGGTGCTTCTGATTAATGGCTTCTGTTGGCTCAGCAGGTAGAAGTTATGGCCAATGGAGCCTATGCCCAGCTTTGGCTGGTGTGCTAGTTGCAGCCTTACCTGGGGCAGGAGGACTTGGCTACAGTAACTCATGCCCTTGTAACCACCAATTTAGACTACTGTAATGTGTAGACTTACGTGGGGGTTGTTCTTCAAGAGTATTTGGAAACTATGGTTGGTCCAAAATGCAGAGGCCCACATCTTTCCGGGTTCCTGTGTGCATTGGGAGCACACAATTCGTTTTGTGGATCCTGCACGGGTAGCCGAATGGTTTCCAGGCCCAATTCAAGGTGGTGGTGTTGACCTATAAAGCCTTTATGGCTTGGTGCCCAAGTAACTTCAGGACTGCCTGTTCTCGTCAATATCAGCATGACTAATTAGATCTACCACTGCAAATCACGCACTTTTGGGAGGTTCAGGGGGCTGGCAAGGCAGAGCTGCATTTCTGTATCAGTGCCAATGTTGTAGAACAGCCCCTTCCCCCGGGGAGATCAGACTGGCTCCCTTTTTGCTGGTCTTTTGGAAGCTCTGGAGACTGAATTGTTTTGGAGGGCTTTCCCCTGATATGAATGTTGCCATCTTTGTTTTTATTTATTTTATTTGTAGTTAAAGTTGTATTTTTAAATTTTTTTATTGTTTTTGTAGTTGCTTTATTCCTACTCTGAATGTTTTAATCAGTCTCTGTTCACCAAGCCACCAAGAGTCCCTACTGATTGTGGTGGCATAGAAGTATGTTTAATAAATAATAAATACCTACCTACCTACCTACCTACCTACCAACCTACCATAAATAATCTTGGATTTGTGTGTGGGAGAGTCATAACAGGCTTGAAAGAAATGAGAATCCGTCACTGCTTCTGACTGCAGCTGTTCCCCCCACCACTTGCTTTGGAACACTGCAGCACCCACAATATCCTAGGAGAAAAGGCAGATCCCAGGGCCAGCCGTCGCTAAACTCCTCATAACTGGTTCCTTTTTCCCTATTGAGGTTGCATCTCCACTTTGTGTCCTGCTGGACAGTAAAGAAGCAGGATGGCTGAGAGAAGGGAATATCAAAAGACATTGGTAGGGCTCATGTGAGGAGAAGAGTGTCTTCTGCCATTGCTGTCTTCCTTTTGATGAATGAACACTCGGTGCAAAACAGAAGTAAAAAGCAGTGGGAACAGACTTCAGCCTCCTCTACATTAGAAAAGGACCTGGTCCAGTGTCTTCGGAGTAGACTGACATAGAGGCCTAGGGAAATAAATGAATGAATGAATAAATAAAATGTACTGGCATTTGGGAACTTGGTAGCTTATTCACTGCCTTTCATGACTCCGCTCACCTCTCATTGGCATGAGTGGCATTGGCAGTCTATCCCTGCTGGATTTTCAGTTTTATTCTTCCCCCTCTGCTCTGTTGCCTCTAATGGTGGTGAATTCTTTGAACTTCTCATTATGCTGAAGGTGAATTATTTGTTCTACCAATTTAATGACTGCTTTCTAATGTTTACACAAGGAATAAGATGGCTCCATCATAGAGACACTCTTTAAGTGAGTTTCTGTTTTCCCCCCACCCTAGTCGTGTGGATTCCTTGTCTGAGTATGATTATTTCTGCTTATGAAAATCTCAATTGACCAAAGTCATAATGGGTTTTGAGGGTCAATATCCAATATCCAAGGCCAATGCCTTTTCTGGTGACAGCTTTGGTATATGGAAAATTGCAATTTAGAATGTGAATGGTAAAGAGTAAGAATTAATGAAGTAAAGGAAAGGAAGAAAATAGATATATAGTATGTCAGATATTAAAGAAAAGGATGTATGGACGAAGGTGGTCTGACTTTATGGAGTGGAGTTGAATACATATAGGAGAGCGAAGATGTAGGCTTAACTATGAATGAAAGGCCTAAAGCGTATGTCAGAATGTATGAATTGGTATCATCTAGCTATTGTGGGTATGTATGAAAATAGAAATCCATGAGTTAGTAATAGTTGCATGTTATGCTCCAGTGAATGGTGATAATGGAAGAACCAGATATTATTTTGGAAATGACATGAGGAACAAAAGAATAGAAAAATGATTGGACCATTAGGAGGCCCAAGAATAAATGAGAAGGCAGACTGTATGGTGACTATATGGAACAGGTTCAAAAAAGGATTGTTTGTTTCGGGTATGTGATTTAAGCATAACTCTACTCATATATGGCAAAAGAATGAATATAAATCTAGGAGCATGTTTGTAATGAAAGGATGAGATAATTAGAGAAGGACAGAAGGATGATAAGAGGTTCTGAATGTGGGTGAGATCATTTTTGGTAGATAATTAATTAGTTTTTGGGGAAAGTGGACATGTGAAAAAAAAGAGCAAAGTGAAAGAAATTAGAGTGAAAATAGAATGACTGCAGGAAGAGAAAGCGTGAGCCTTATAGGGAAAAAAAAATAAGAAAAGAAGATGTGGAAGCTGCTTGGAGCTCAGTGAAAAAATTGTTACAAAGAGCCAGAGAGGTGTGTGGTGTCATAATACTGGGAAGGATGAAAAAAAGATGCTTAGTAAGACAGAATGATGAAGTGAAACAGGCTGTGGATGAGAAATAAAATGCGCTGCTATAAAAACGAGGATAAGAGAAAATATGGTATAATGTATATACAGAGAAAAAAAAGACTTGCAAAGAATGTAGACAAGGAGCAAAGAATGGTTAAAATTAAAACAGGCAGATAAAATGCAGAGAAATATAAAAATAAGTTGAATACAGTAGGAATGGGCTACTTAAGAAGTGGCTGTGGCTAAACAAGAGAATATAAGGTCAAGAATGAATAGATGATCTGAGATATCTTCCCATGACCATAGCAAGATTTCTGCATCTAGCTGTTGGGCGTTGCCCACCCTCCTCCCTTGTTGAACTTTGAACACGTTTAGTAGTCATGTGGAAAAGAAAATTAGAAAATTAAGATACTGGAGGGGAATGAGGCAATGGAATATTCTGCGGCTGTGTCTGAACACACTCTTAGCTGAGGAAACATTTCAACACTATTACAGGTTCCACTAGGAAATGTAAGAACAGTTGATTCTGGAAGCAGCACTGACAATGTGGATGTTATTTTCAAGCTTCAGTTTGTTTGCTCTTTCTGAAAGTCCACTCTGGCTCTGGCCAAGGCTGCCCCTCTCCTGTTTCACCTACCGGCATCGGCCCTCCGAACACACCCCCTTCGTGGCATTGCTTTCTTTGCAGTAAGACCTTGACCCAGGAAGGGAGGGAGGGTGGGGGGTGGCAGTGGTAGCAACCTGTGTGAGCATGGGAAGTGCTGACGGGCAGTTTTCAGCTACTGACACCTTACATGAAGCAACATCCTGTTACAAAGGATTTCAGACCATGATGAAATGCTCTGACGCACAGCCTGAAGTCAAAGCCTCTTACAAGATCTTCCCAGGTCTCTTCAGCAGAGTCCTCTCCTGGAGGCAGATGGACTTTGCTGGGAGAGGCCATGTGCCCATAGGCCAGGCAAACTGCTGCCTCAGAGAAACTGCTGCTCCAGTGGCCACCAGTAAGCAGTAGAAGTGGGGTAGCTCATCTCCTAAGGGAGCATAGACAGGCTCTGGCCCCTGTGGTGGGGTGAGCAGGCTCAGTGAGCAGATGTAACCCAAAGCCACCTTTGGCACAGTAGAGAATGGCTGCCAGTAATGTTCCTACAAGGTGGCTGCACAGAAATCCAGAGCGAGGTTGGGGGTTGTTGAGGCCACAGGATGGAAAGCAGCAAATTCCTAGTGGGAAGCTTGGCCAGAGAAAGTTCATTCAAGGTACATTCTGTCTTCTCCATGGTGATGCAGTGGGCAGAGCTCTCAGGCTGGCAGTCTGGAACCCTAATGCAACACACAGACTGGGGCAGTTCCCCAGGAGAAAAGCAGCCTGTGGGATGTGTAAGAAGGACCATGAGACCCAGCTCCGAATGCCTCCACACCAAGTCTCTGGTCACCAAAGATCTTCCTACTTGTGGCTTGGGCAATTACTGTATGAGCCCTGAAGTGGAGTTTGTTTGGGCTTAGGCTGTTGGGGCTTTTGTTCTAGACTGCTTCACGTGGCTTCTGCCTCTGGATCCTGGAACTGCTGCTGATGGCCAGGAGACATGAAGGCTATGTCTGACCAGCTGAGGGCTGTGCGGGTCAGGATATGTTGCAAAACCCTGGCTGCTTCTTTTTCTCTCTCTAGTCACATGTGCACTGGGAATGACAGCTCCATCACAACAAAAGTGGATTCTTGAATTCCTAGCCAAAATAGGAATAGTACCTTATACAAATAGGTTTTATTTTTAGAGGGTGGGGGATCCACAAAATGCTCAAAGCTAGAGATTGCTTGCTGACAACAGATATGAGAAGGTGAACTTAATACCAGTCTGCATACTCTGGGGGGAAGTTATCCAGAGATAAAACTTTTTGCAAAACATCTTAGATGAACATGGGTCTGCATTGTCAACACTGAGAGCAAAGAAAGGCCACCTTTTTGCCCCAAAGGATGGTGGGTCACAGTGTTTGGAGACACCTCTCACTTAGTATAATGGGCTTTATCCATGTGCATCCTGAAACCCCCCAAATAGAGGCAAAAATCTGAAATGGCTAATTGGGGTTGGATCAGCTTGGTGGATGAACATACGGACTATGGGGCCATTTTGAAACCAGGACACTTATACTGTGCTACACTTCTCTGATTCTGCGATCAAAGCCTTCCACAAGGCAGGGAGGAGAACAACCAGAGTAGGGGTGAGGAATCAGCAACTGCAAGCCAGGTGTGCCCCCAAGACCTTCCCTCATCCCTCCTCCACTAAGAGTTAGGGCTTTAAAAATGATTCAATGCCATGTGCAGTTTTGTAACTGGGAACAGAAAAGATAATTGTCCTTGTATGCAACAAGGTTCCTGAACAATGCCTTGAACAGTACTAGTCTTTTAAGAAAGATGAATTTATGGGTGTGCATAAATAGTGCTGAATTTGCACAATTCAGTGGACTTGATTCAGTGGACTACAGGTAGTCCTCAACTTATGACCACAATTGGGACTGGAATTTCTGTTGCTAAGTGATGTAGTTGTAGAGAGAGCTGTCACGTGACCGCATCGCTTAGCAATGGCAAACCCAGCACTCCCCATTGCCATTCCACTGGTCTTAGCTGAGGAATTCAAGCACAGAAGAAGGAGGTTGAACCAGCCTTTGGAGATCCTTTGAACTGGAGTTTCTGACTATCAAAATTCACAAAAAAAGTGATCCTTGAAGAGGAATTTCCAAAACATACAGGAGAATTAAATTGTTCCTGTCTGGAAAAAGGGAAAGGAGATCTAAGGGAAGTTTAAAGGGTTTATTTTTGCTGTAAATCTCCCAGAGTCATTTCAATGAGATGGGCGGTGACAAATTTGATCAATAAATAAGAATTTTTTAAAAAAATTCTGGCAGATACACATGAAGTCTCAGGTCTGACGATGGGAGGAAGGCTGGCCTTAGACCATTTCTGAACATCCCAGGCGGAGGATCTGTGTTGTCCATTTCAACCGAATGGTTCAGCAGGACTACTTTTTCTAAGCATGCTAGATTCTTTCCAGGCCAGCTGACGCGTCCAGGCAACTGTAGGGGCTCATCTTAAAGGGAGTAAGACCGATCCGTGGTATCTCACCCCCTTGTCCCCTTTGCTTCCCAGGATCTTTGTGAACCGGAGCTTGGCCCTGGAGAAGATAAAATGCTTCGGTTTTGATATGGACTATACCCTTGCAAGTAAGAGGCCTTGACTGTGGAACCCGTGGAGTGCCCGGCGTGGCGGAGGGAGGTGGAGAAACCCAGCACAGCTTTTCATGCATTTGGGGTGCTTTTCTGCTGGGAAGCTGCCTGACAGACTCCTTGTGGTCTCTGTCTCTTGGTCTGTTAATAAGTTGCATGTGGGTCTCCTGATTTGGCCTGCCGGGGGCCTGCGCATTTCTGTGATAAGAGCAGAAGGCCTGGGGCTGGAGCTAATTCAGGGTCCCCAGTGTTTGGGGGTTGGCCAGCACATTTGGGATTTTGAGGGGTGGGGGTGGGGTTGCTCATTCACAAAATAAGTGACACGGAGGACATAACTAATGGACGGAAATGCTACCTGCCCCCCCAGCAAGCGGCTCGCTTTTGTCCTTTGCCTCCCCCCGCCTCAATCCAGAATTACCAGCCTCCTCTCTCTTAGTCAGGTCTGCCTTAACCCATAACTGATAATGATGACATTCTGCGAACAGAATTATTTATGTATTTATTTATTCGCTCAGTTATTTATAGACTAGTTCAACAAGGGACTAGTTCAACAAGGTGGCTGTATTCACTTTCAGTAAAAATAAAATGTATTTTATGTGACATGAAGGTCCATCCAGGAAACCCATAAAGATCCATTCTCCTTACTACAGGATAGAAAAACAGGCTAAGAAAGCCCAGCCCACTGGCCCCAATGGCTAAATGGGAACTGTTTTATTCAGGAAATCACTGGGACCAACAGCAGCCCTTGCAGGCTGCTTTATTGTCATTCCTGTGCTTTGAGCCTGAGGCTGCTTGTGTTATGCTGCGTTCCTGACCAGATGTCCATTTTGCAGATAGATTTCAATCTTTGTGCTCTTTTGGACCCACTTTTTAATTTTTGAGATGACCATGTAAGCAAGTCCCCAGGGTAGAGCTCACTCAGAAAATGTTGGTCTTTTACATTTTCTGTGTTTCCTTTGGACTTGGTGACACAAAGATGCACCAGGAATGGGAGCGGACTCTGCTCTTTTCCACTGCAGTGTACCAATCTCCGGACTATGAAGAACTGGCCTTCAAGCTGTTGCTGGAGCGGCTGGTCTCCATTGGGTACCCTCACGAAATCCTGGAATATAAATACGATCCTGCCTTCCCTACCAGGTAATGAAAGACCCAGTTATTCTGTCTTTCCAGAACTGGAAACCCAGTTGCTGTTGGAGACTTTGATGCGGGAGGGAGCCAAGCCAGTGATCTTTCCTTTCTTTCCATTCTTCAGGGGCCTGATCTTTGATGCCCAGTATGGGAACTTGCTGAAGGTGGACTCCCATGGCAATCTGTTGGTGTGTGCTCATGGCTTCCGCTTCCTCAAGGGGTATGTTCTCCATCCCTCTCTTCTTAGATGTGGGATTCATCTTCTGCTCCCGTCCAATCGATCATCTGCCAAAAAATCTGTATCAGCCCCTTCCTTTCCTGAAGGAGATCCCTTGGAGCAGAGAACTGAGGACAGCTGATAGCTCACCCTCCCTCCCTTTCTCTCTCTGATCTCCTCCAAAGGGCCAGTTGGCTTTCTTGGAGGAGCTCCTGTGAGCGGTTGGCCTCCTGTGAACGCTGGAAGATTCTTCATGGATCAAAGCAGGGCTCTTACACTCTCACAAGAGCTCCTGAGACAGACTTTTATTTTATTTGGATTGAGGAGCTATGTATTCATAACCTGGTTAACCACTTCTACTTCGTGCTTTTCATGCCCTCCCCCCCCCCGCCCAGGTTTTGGAATAGTCATTTATTTGGATTGTTAATCCGCTTGCACTTTTTTGGGCTTTTGGCGGATTGCAATTTTTGGTTCCAAAGTTTTGCATGGTCCATTTTTAGTTTGGTAGCACAAACCTTCAGATATTTCCAAAGTCCTTAGTTGGGAGCTATCTTTATTAGGATCAGCCTAATACAAATATTACCTAATTACAGATTTCAGCTTTTCCCTTATGGTTCAGTAGTTACGATTGGTTCAAATATTTCAAGGTATTTCCCTAGTATGAATCTAGCATAACACAGGGCTGGACTGTTGGAAACCTTATCTTTAGGCCACCAGCTCCTTTTCCCTGAAGGTGTGAGGCAGTTTTGGCTTGAGCACCCCGGGAACAGCCATCAGACGGGATCGGTACTTGAGTCCATGCCTTGCCCCCGGGCCCAGCCATGTGCTGGCTCTTGAGTCCAGTCCTCTGTCAAGTGTGTGTGGATTGAAAGCAGGCTCTGAATGCAGGAGCATCCCCCCCCCAAACAAGTGCCCCCCCATTAACAGAATTGTAGTATTCAAGACCAACCCCCTGCTCAGAAGGCTTCTTAAGAGATCTTCTTAAGAATAAGAAGATAATAAATAAAAGGAAAATGAACGCGTCGGTGTAACACCTATCCAGTGATATTGGTGCACTGAGTAGCAGAGAAAAGGCAGAGCTGTTGAACTCCCTGCATGGACCAAAGAGAGAAAGGGAGCTCCCTTGGGGAATTGTGAAAAGCAGGACGAGGAGGACTAAAGCCTGAGATGGAAGGAGGCCGTCTGTTTACTTCGAATGAGTATCAGATGAATTACACTCGCTGATGCCCTGGGTAAAACTGTCCTATTCAAGCTTTAGCCAAACCTGTGTTCAGGAGTCCTTGAGAGGTGCAATTCATTGCATAGTCCCAGATCCTCACCTAGATAATTCAGCTCACTGTCTCAGAAATGAATCCTTTCCTGTTGATACCATTTGTGTCAGAATTATGCTGAGATACCCTGACGATGTTCTCACCCTTCTAAGTCCAGAGTAGCTACTGACAATCCTGAAAACAGAACTAGTCCTGTAGAACTTCTTCCTGCAAGCAGGTATCAGTAATCCCTTGAGTGCACTCCCTTTCTCCTGTGAAAATGCTATTGCCAAGGGCTACAGGGAGTATCTTTTGTAGAAGGTACAAGGGTGATGTCCCAAGTCTGGCTGGTGCTTTTCTGACCAGCATGTAGCATGAGTCTTCTCGTACTTCATTAAGAGCAGTTCAGCTGAAGTTCTGGAGCGCTTCTGGAGCTCCTCTCCTTTCTGCCAGTCCAGTGTCAAGGCAAATCAGACAGGGAAGCTGAAAGGGCATATTTCACATTCCACATGGATAAATGAGCAGTTTGAATAATTGTCCCATTAAAAAGCTAAGCATTAGGATTTTATTACTTTTTTAAGAAAGTAAAGTGTGGAGAGCATAACCAAACTTTATAAGTGGACGGGTCATTCTCAAGAGAGAATATTTTTTCCACCGTAGAATCAAATATGGGTGGCAAAGAGATTCAGAATCGGGGAAAGAAAGTCCTCCCCGGGGCACCAGAGGGATGAGTGGAGTTAGGATTGGACAGACTCGTGGGGGAAGAATGTAGCAGGCCTTCGAAGTCCAAGGCTACAGCCCTCCCCCTCAGCTTTCTGGAGGTTTCCCATCCCTTTCTTCTCTTTGGACTGCATAGCAGCCCCTCTTCCCCGGCCACTCTCATGGCTTCTCTGTAGGCCTGCAGGCCAAGGGAAGGTTTGGGTCAAATGGGACGCCGCCAGGGGCGGAAAGGAAGAGGGGCATGGTTCCCTCCCAGCTATTCCGAGGCCTCTGCGGAGATTCAGAAGATTTTGAACCGCTCCCTGCCAGGGGGCCGCACTCTGCCTCCTTCCATCTCCCACTGCCAGAAACCCAGCCGGAGGGCAAGAGCGGAGGCCCCTGGGTGCCCGCGTGGAGACAGAGCTGGCAAAGCTGCGGCCTCTGTGCTCCTTTGACGCATTCAGCAGAACTGGGGGCTTGGGACACGACGTCTTAGTAAGGCGTGCCTTCGCTAGAGCTACATCCCCACCTCATTTATGACTTTTTCTGTTTTTCTATTTCTAGGAGTGAAATCTGGAATTATTATCCAAACAAATTCATTCAGAGAGATGACACGAAGCGTTTTCATATTCTAAACACTTTGTTTAATTTGACAGGTACTTGCAAAGGGAGAGTTGGGAAGAGGGCAGAAGGGTCAACCTCCGGTCACAGCACCGCCTGTCCCAAAGGACGGCCCAATCTGGCGGCTCCTTGGTTGGGAGGGATATCTGGCAGAGGCCTACGTTTGTGTCTCTGGAGGCACAAGAGCCCAAAGTGGGCTAGCCGAGGGACTCAGCTTGGAGAGGGCTCTTGAAAAACATGGTAGGGGCTTCGGAGATGTTTCTGGAACAAAAACAAACAGCTGGTCCTGTTTTCACAAGTGACGCCCCTCTGATGAGTCTCCCAAAGGTTGGTCCGTAACGCCTCAGTCCTGAAGGTGCCGCAAAACTCTTTGTGGAAACTGGGCAGAGGAATTTAAAGAAAGCCAAGTCTGACATAGATAAGAATCCTAAACTAACCCCCCATAATTATCTGATCGAAACTTGATGACGGACTCCAGTTTTCTCTTTCCCAAGGCTAGCGTCATTTTGTGTGATAAAAGACGTACGGTATGAGCCAGCGCGGGCTGGCAGTTAGATGTTTTTGGGCTTCCCAGTCTAGGGCTGGGAAAGAGGGACCGGCCCAAAGTCCCGCAGGGAGCCGTAATGCCTGAGAGAGGAGCAGAACTCTCCTAGTACAGCACTTTCCCCGCCAGATCACACTGGCTCTCATATGTGCATTTGTATGCATTACACGGACACGCACAGACATGTCTGCCTGGCCGGTTTGGCGGCTGGGGGTGGAGGGCTGGGCGAGAGGAGCGGGCCCGTCTGCGTCTGCAGCTGACGGCAGTCGAGGAGCGCTGGGGAGCCCTCAGGCTGCTGGTGCTGCTGAGAGGGCGAGCAGCTACCTGGCTGCGTGCCACGACTGTATATCGATGAGTTGCTTGCCAAGGTTTTGGTGCATTGCCTGCAGCTCCTCCTTTCTGGGCCAGAGCTGGAAAGTCCAGAGGGAAAAGAGAATGAAAAAGAAAGATGCTGGGAAGCATGTGCAGACCGTATTCCTTCCCCAGCACACCCCTTGAACCCTGGACTGCTGCTCTACCTTGGCGCTCCCTCTGATGATGTTCCTGAAATTGGTGACAAGGTTTTCTGCATAGGATTGACAAGAAAGAGGGGTTAACTGCTGAAAAGTTTATTTTAGTGTACGGTACTATTCTTTGTGTAGGGAGGGGCCCACGGTGTCTTTCTAAAGCATTTGGTGCTTATCATAAACCAGTTTTCCCGTGACTTACTTTGGCTGGGTCCATATAACACACTTAGCTGAGCCAGTTTAAGACCCAACAGCTGCATTTGCACATCATGCTAACCTTGTTTTAACATTGGTTGGGGTTTCTTGTGGTTTAGCATGTGGCACAGACCCAGCCCTTGTGGTTCGACGAGGCTTCCATGAGAACTGAGGAAATGGATTCCTCTGATAAGCAGGTGAAGATTTTTGGCACGTGCAACTTTTGTATTCATGGTGTGGCCCAAACAATTTCCCAAGCATGGCACCTTGCGGGCAAACGTTGACCATCCCTGGTTTAAGTTAGGCTGTCAAATCGGAATGAAGTTTCCAAGTAGTGCCAGCCACTGGAATGGGCCTCCCTCTCTTTCGGCTGTCCCCTCTTTCTGGATGACCTTGAGGGGGGCTCTGTCCAGAGGGTGCCTTCGCTAACCCTTTTCTCCCTCCCCACAGAAGCCTACCTCTTTGCCTGCCTCGTGGATTTCTTCACCAGCTGCCCCAGATACGTGAAGTACGTGCCCTGCCCCATGCCCGTGGGTGCTCTGGCCTGGCCTGCCTGGGGCAGAGGGTGCTACCTGGTGCTTCAGAGGCCCTCTGGGATGCCATCCGTATCATGCCAAGTGGGGGCGGGGGAAGTCGCCTGGAATTCTGTTCCTGTTTGTGAGGCTGCTTTTGCTGCTGGCCTTTCCCTGCCCTGTGGAGCCGTGGCTGATCTCACCTTGGACTTGTTCCTCTTTTTCTCTCAGCTGTGCGACCGGCTACAAGCAGGGCAACCTCTTCATGTCCTTCCGCAGCATGTTCCAAGATGTCCGAGAAGCCATGGATTACGTGCACCTTTCAGTAAGCGGAGGAGTTGGGGGAGGAGGCTGGAGGGCTGGCTGGATTCCTGAGATTTCGTGGGAAAGTCTTTCGGGGGACCCTTCAGAGATCGTGGCTGAGCCAGAATTCAACACCAAGTTTAGAGTTTTAATCTTTACCTCCATACAAATCGTGCTATTTTTTTCTTTCGGCATAAGCAACATTATGCAAAACTCAGAAAATGAATGAAAAATAATAGACAAAAGAAAATCAAGGCGGGAGGGAAGAGCAAAGGAAAGGAAATAAAACTACATCTAGGTTTTCGTATTCAGAGCTGCTATTTATTGATGAATTCACTTCTGGGCAATGCCTTGTGAAATAGGAAATATGGGCTGACAATTCACTAGCCATCAACATGCTCTCGTTGTCTCACATGAGATTTCACCACTAATTAAATTGAGCTTATACTGAAACCATTCTGTATTCCTCTCCATACACTTCTCTCCTGTAAACCATCCTCACATTGACTTTTGTTCTTTAAACTTTTGTTCATTCATATTGTTTGTTCATTTGTGTCGTCGTTAATTCCATCCAGCCATGACTTTCCTGGTCTTTTGCTTCCTCTTGATCCATTCATTTTTCCTTCATGTAGTTGTTTTGGGATTTGATCCTGATTCATTTTTTTCTGTATCACCAAACCAAATCCTTTCATACTGGTGACTCATTCTTGTGTTCAGTCCACATATCATTTAGCCCCCATTCATTCTTGATACTCTCTTTACAATATTCTTTACAGCAGTTATAAGTACAATTATAAATTTGCTTCTTTCTTTAAAGTTACATCGTGACTCCCTTCTTTCTATAATCTATCCTGTCTAATCATCAAAACCATAAATCATAAGTTCCTTTTTTTGTGTTTCACGCAAAAATA